ATGTTATTTTTATTATCCTCTAATACTTTAGAGTAATATAGTTTCTTACATCTCCTCAAAATCTCAATTAATTTGTTCTTATATGACTTATATTTTTCTTCCGCCTTCTTTGATCTGTCCTTTATGAATTCCTTATATAACACATTCTTCTTTTTACATGCATTATGTAATCCCTTACTCATCCACGGTTTCCCACTGTAATTCCTTTTGTTTGTATATTGGAGTGTGAATTTGAGGTACTTGTACCTCAATATGGTGCTTCTAAAAGCACTACATATTTATTTAACAACTATAGTTACAAGTTATTTTACAGGTCAGTGGTTCCCAACCTGTTTATCTCGTGCCTTCTTACAAAGATGGAGTGTCTGGTTGTGGCCCCTTGGTATGTTTCAAAGACATTTCTCCTTAAAACTTCTCACAGGCGTTTTCACTGCTCACATGATCCAATATTGCACTGAAGAGCAACGGTTGGGAAGAAAATTGTCGTTAACTGCAACATACACAATGATACAACACTGAAATCAGAAATCATAATTTAGCCTCAGATGTTGTCAAATTAAGCTTGATAAACATCTTTAGAAGTATAATTTTAAGTATATTTTAAAAATAATACTTTAGTTTTATTTAAGCAGGAGTGTTAATTTAGAACTTTTACTTGTAACAGAGTATTTTTATACTGTTATTGGTACTTTCACTTAAGTAAAGTATCTGAATGGCTCTTCCACCACTTGCTACAGGTTCTGTTTCTTTACCATCTCGTACGGATGAGTCCATTAGGTCTTTTTCAATGTGTTGCACCAAAGATATGAAAAGATGAGAATAGAGAGACAGAGAGACAGTGGAGTGATAGAAATAATTACACAAGCAGAGCAGAGAGAAAGGTTAAGAACAGACACAAATGTTAAAATAGTAACAAAGAAGAGGAGGAGGAAGTGTGAGGAGGAGGAGGAGGTGAGAAACCCTAGCTGACTTTAGAGGAGCCTTCTCCATGTCAGAAAATCTAACAGTTTAAATTCTTTGATCACTGCGCAAAGTCTTTCGGCTTCTTCTTGACGCTGCTGTGACACAGCTACAAACTGTAGCTTTCTACCAGAACCGAGCGAGAGAAGCGAGATCAAACATCAGAGCTTAGACAGCTCTCCTCAGAAACAGAGCCCTGATCAACCCACACACACACACACACACACACACACACACACACACACACACACACAACAC